AGAACTCTAAAACTAAAAAAAATACAATATGATAGATAATTGGAATATCCAAGGTGTTACACAATAGCCAATAACCATTTTAAGGGTGTGTACTAAATAAAGTTGTGTCAATGAAACTGAACAACTTTCTCCAAGAAACTTAAGTCGAAATACGTAAAAGATATTTGGGCTTGCCATACAAAAATAACAGCTGACAGTCATCTTCTGTGGGAGGTATTTTTCTTCTCATATTTCGACCTATGTTCCTTGGGGAAAGTTGTTCAGTTTCATTGACAGAACACACCCTTAAAATGTTCATTGGATATTCTGTAACACGTTGTATATACGATACCAAATACAAATAAGTACAAGTCACAAATTTACCAAGTTTTAAAATCTATAAAATTTGAGTACGTACGAGATTTGAGTTTTTTGAGTAACTTAATTGTCATTTTGCGAACTTTATCATATTAAGTATTTGACATTATGTATTTTTAAGATTCTGTTTCTGGGTTTCATGTGTAGCATCAGATGCGATTGGGATAAGTTGCGAATGCGTGACGAGTTTCGAACAACCCGTCTCGTAAAATGTGTGTTTTATTTACAATCAACATTCTTATTCTAATAATTTAACAATTGTCTCAGACTTAGTATATTTAACTTTTATATTCAAACGATTACTTTGAATATTTTTACGTTTTACAGAAAGAAAATAACCTGAAAGTAAGCCAAGATACTTATGTAGCTTTTCCCTACAAAAATAAAAAAATACGCCAATCAGCTAAAAATTAACAATGGGGAAACCATATTTTTCATATTTCGATATAAATATGATAGGCTAACTTATCAATTATACTTTTGTCTTATTATTAATCTTTAAAGATATAAACATCCATCAGCTAATAAATATAATAGGTTCAGTTTTATATTATAAGGTCCTATTAAATTCAGTGCAAATACTTTCAGGGTGTGTTCTACTCATAAAACTGAACAACTTTTCTTAGTAACGTTTTGGACCTCCCATACAATAATATTAAAAAGTTGTGTCATTTTGTATGGGAGAACCAAATTTTTTTTTCTAACTTTTAGAAAAAAAGTTACCAAGAAAAGTTGTTCAGTTTTATGAGTATAACACACCCTGAAAGTACTTGCACTGAATTTAATAGGACCTTATATAATATAAAACTGAACCTATTATATTTATTACCTGATGGATGTTTATATCTTTAAAGATTAATAATAAGACAAAAGTATCTAAGCCTTCCCCAGGAATCTAATCTAAAAGTGTACTGCCGCTACCAATAAATTTCATCAAACCTGTTGCTTCAAAGTCTTCCTTTAATAATTGCAGTAGGCTCTGTAAATAACAAAATGGAACCATTACTCAAAAAGTTTGCAATGCGTATCAATACATTGTATAAAATGAAGTAGCTTTTTGCGTTTCTCTGTCTGTCTGTCGTGGAATTCACTAACTCCTCCTCTAAACTACACAACGGATTTTGATGCGGTTTTTTGTAATAGATTGAGTGATTCAAGGGGAAGGTTTATAACACATGGGGGAAACCAGTTGCAGCGGGTAACAACGCTGTTAGGCCGCTAGTGTAAAATAAAAAAGAAACTGAACATATATTCATATTTGACCATGAAACTGAACAACTTTTTGTATGGGGCCAATGTTGGTAAACAAAAAGAAAAACAATTTCCCATACAGGGTGTATAGTATTGAGCTCCACAAAACTTGACTTTCTGACCTGAAAACTTATGTTGTTACTGCTGTTTAATCCATTCCGTGCAGACTCAGTCTTTAAAAAATAAAAATCCTCACCTTATAAAAAAATCCAACATTGATACTTTTATCAACATCAATAGTCTGGGTTGCGTACTATTGCTGTCTATAAGAGATATTGATTTTTTTATAGGTCAAGGATTTATATTTTTTTACAGACAGAGTCTGCACAGAGCTGATAACAGCAGTACCTATAGGTATGTATTGTAATGTGTGTTGTTTTAATGGGGAAAATGTTTAAACCTATCTATAGAGTGACATTGGTTCATGTGTTTGACCGAACAAGAGATTGTACCTATGTTATGATCCACTGACACTAGAGAAGTTGCTATAAGAACATGGGTTTGATACTCACATTATTTTCAATAACAAAGAAGTTTGTAGTTTTGGCTGATGGCCCTGCTGCCTCTGCCACAGGCTCATCATCTATTTCTGATGATTCTTCAGTACTCGTAATGAAATCATGAACTGAAATCTCCTGAAATAAAATTAAAATATTAATTACTTACTAATCTTCTACCATACTTCTACTACGCAGTCAAGTTACACAAACAACATATCGGATCTTCTTCTTCTTTTGGTGTGGGACACCGAGTCGTCCAACGACCTGATGAACCCTGGTGTCAGAGTTTTTCAACCGCCTACTACTAGTAGTAGGCCTCTGACATGGTATCGACCTCCGTCTTAGTGATCATAGACAGCAACCGGGACCGATGGCTAAACGTGCCCTCCGAAGCACGGAACCATCTTTCTTACAGATTATCATTGGTTCAGCCTGAAATGTCCTAACCAGACTGGGAACAAATTCACAAAGTAATAAATATCAACTTTGTTAGTGCCCCACCAGGAATCGAACCCGGTACCTTCTGCGTGGCAGGCAGCCGCACTACCACTGCACCACATCGGTCGTCAACATATTGGATGGTGTTTGTACACACTAACTAGCCTGTAATACCAACTTGTGGTTGTTAAACTGAGTAGTAGATAGGATTTTTTTATAAATATTTTATAAAGTCGACAAGTAGGGTCACTGTAACTAGGGTTAACTTACTACACCAACATTATCTTAACCTGATTGTTGTACAGGTAGGTAATAATACCTTTAGGTACATATAGGTATTTACTTACACTCAGACTTATATTATCTACACCGCTGAAGTCTCCTTGTATATTTTTGGAAAACTTCCAAAATTTTCACCGCAGGCAGGATTTGAACCTGCGACCTTCGGCATCAGTACTGCCGACGCCCTAACCAACTGGGCTACCGCGGTTCTAATCGAGCCCGCGAAATTATGGAAGTATATCTTGTCCACTATCGCGTGGATGGGCTCCATCTACCGGGATAGTTTTTCAACTAATTCCCAGCGACTAATTCATTCTTTACAGATTGAATGTAGTCAAAGCGATGAAAACCCGCGATAAATTGAATACCAAATTTTAAAACACTTCTCGTGTTAGGTAAACAATTTTTGGAAAACTTCCAAAATTTTCACCGCAGGCAGGATTTGAACCTGCGACCTTCGGCATCAGTACTGCCGACGCCCTAACCAACTGGGCTACCGCGGTTCTAATCGAGCCCGCGAAATTATGGAAGTATATCTTGTCCACTATCGCGTGGATGGGCTCCATCTACCGGGATAGTTTTTCAACTAATTCCCAGCGACTAATTCATTCTTTACAGATTGAATGTAGTCAAAGCGATGAAAACCCGCGATAAATTGAATACAAATTTTAAACACTTCTCGTGTTAGGTAAACAATTTTGAAAACTTCCAAATTTTCACCGCAGGCAGGATTTGAACCTGCGACCTTCGGCATCAGTACTGCCGACGCCCTAACCAACTGGGCTACCGCGGTTCTAATCGAGCCCGCGAAATTATGGAAGTATATCTTGTCCACTATCGCGTGGATGGGCTCCATCTACCGGGATAGTTTTCAACTAATTCCAGCGACTAATTCATTCTTTACAGATTGAATGTAGTCAAAGCGATGAAAACCGCGATAAATTGAATACAAATTTTAAAACACTTCTCGTGTTAGGTAAACAATTTTGAAAACTTCCAAAATTTTCACCGCAGGCAGGATTTGAACCTGCGACCTTCGGCATCAGTACTGCCGACGCCTAACCAACTGGGCTACCGCGGGTCTAATCGCGCCCGCGAAATTATGGAAGTATATCTTGTCCACTATCGCGTGGATGGGCTCCATCTACCGGGATAGTTTTCAACTAATTCCCAGCGACTAATTCATTCTTTACAGATTGAATGTAGTCAAAGCGATGAAACCCGCGATAAATTGAATACCAAATTTTAAAACACTTCTCGTGTTAGGTAAACAATTTTGAAAACTTCAAATTTTCACCGCAGGCAGGATTTGAACCTGTGACCTTCGGCATCAGTACTGCCGACGCCCTAACCAACTGGGCTACCGCGGTTCTAATCGAGCCCGCGAAATTATGGAAGTATATCTTGTCCACTATCGCGTGGATGGGCTCCATCTACCGGGATAGTTTTTCAACTAATTCAGCGACTAATTCATTCTTTACAGATTGAATGTAGTCAAAGCGATGAAAACCGCGATAAATTGAATACCAAATTTTAAATCACTTCTCGTGTTAGGTAAACAATTTTTTTTGGTAAACTTCCAAAATTTTCACCGCATGCAGGATTTGAACCTGCGACCTTCGTCATCAGTACTGCCGACGCCCTAACCAACTGGGCTACCGCGGTTCTAATCGAGCCCGCGAAATTATGGAAGTATATCTTGTCCACTATCGCGTGGATGGGCTCCATCTACCGGGATAGTTTTTCAACTAATTCCCAGCGACTAATTCATTCTTTACAGATTGAATGTAGTCAAAGCGATGAAAACCAAAGGAAGTATATCTTGTCCACGCGATAGTGGACAAGATATACTTCCATAATTTCGCGGGCTCGATTAGAACCGCGGTAGCCCAGTTGGTTAGGGCGTCGGCAGTACTGATGCCGAAGGTCGCAGGTTCAAATCCTGCCTGCGGTGAAAATTTTGGAAGTTTTCCAAAAATTGTTTACCTAACACGAGAAGTGTTTTAAAATTTGGTATTCAATTTATCGCGGGTTTTCATCGCTTTGACTACATTCAATCTGTAAAGAATGAATTAGTCGCTGGGAATTAGTTGAAAACTATCCCGGTAGATGGAGCCCATCCACGCGATAGTGGACAAGATATACTTCCATAATTTCGCGGGCTCGATTAGAACCGCGGTTGCCCAGTTGGTTGAGGCATCGGCAGTACAGATGCTGAAAGTTGCAGGTTCAAATCCTGCCTGCGGTGAAAATTAAAGTTTTCAAAAATTGTTTACCTAACACGAGAAGTGTTTTAAAATTTGATATTCAATTTATCAAGGGTTTCATCGCTTTGACTACATTCAATCTGTAAAGAATGAATTAGTCGCTGGGAATTAGTTGTAAAACTATCCCGGTAGATGGAGCCCATCCACGCGATAGTGGACAAGATATACTTCCATAATTTCGCGGGCTCGATTAGAACCGCGGTAGCCCAGTTGGTTAGGCGTCGGCAGTACTGATGCCGAAGGTCGCAGGTTCAAATCCTGCCTGCGGTGAAAATTTTGGAAGTTTTCAAAATTGTTTACCTAACACGAGAAGTGTTTTAAAATTTGGTATTCAATTTATCGCGGGTTTTCATCGCTTTGACTACATTCAATCTGTAAAGAATGAATTAGTCGCTGGGATTAGTTGAAAACTATCCCGGTAGATGGAGCCCATCCACGCGATAGTGGACAAGATATACTTCCATAATTTCGCGGGCTCGATTAGAACCGCGGTAGCCCAGTTGGTTAGGGCGTCGGCAGTACTGATGCCGAAGGTCGCAGGTTCAAATCCTGCCTGCGGTGAAAATTTTGGAAGTTTTCCAAAAATTGTTTACCTAACACGAGAAGTGTTTTAAAATTTGGTATTCAATTTATCGCGGGTTTTCATCGCTTTGACTACATTCAATCTGTAAAGAATGAATTAGTCGCTGGGAATTAGTTGAAAAACTATCCCGGTAGATGGAGCCCATCCACGCGATAGTGGACAAGATATACTTCCATAATTTCGCGGGCTCGATTAGAACCGCGGTAGCCCAGTTGGTTAGGGCGTCGGCAGTACTGATGCCGAAGGTCGCAGGTTCAAATCCTGCCTGCGGTGAAAATTTTGGAAGTTTTCCAAAAATTGTTTACCTAACACGAGAAGTGTTTTAAAATTTGGTATTCTCCTTGTATAGTTGTGTTGGTGGTGGAGGAGAAGTTCGGGTTCCATGCTTTCCAGTTTCTAACGAACAGAGTTCTAGGGCCTAATGGCGGTATCAATTCTTTGATATCTTCGTGGGTTAGAGCAGATAGTGCTTGAAGGTCAATTTCATTTTCTGTAAAATAATAATAGTTGAATCAACTGACAGCAACAACAGCAGCTGCCGGCACGCTACCTACTATTTTCACTACCTCTCCTCTACTGATCAATAGGTATGCGTATACATCGTGCTGGCACCTGTCCTTGCTGCTAAGTTTTGTAGGTGTAGGTTCGGTCTCATGGCTCCTACACATACCTAGTGCCACCGGCTTAACCGCCGGCCTCAAGGCGCGCGGCCTAGCCGGCGGCAATGCAAGCCCAGCTCATATTGCCGAAGACAATTGCCGCCGGCACCCCATGCAACCCGCCGGCACAACCCGTCGTCTCGGCCCGTGAACACGCGAGCCGGCAGAGTGTGTAGGAGCCATTAGCATAAGAATAGATAATCCATTACACCAAAAGTACCTTACGAGTAGTTTATAAACAGCTAGGTAGTATTTAATGAAGTGGTCGCATCAGTCAGGTCAGCCAAGTACTTACTAATAAAATTTGCACGTAGATCTGCAATAAGGAGGTCCGAGACTTCATCCATGGACACAATACACTTTCACAATACACTACGCGGCAATACACTTATTAAATTCCTGGGGAAGGCTTAAATTTTACTAATCACTCACACCGCACCGGCCGGTTCAAACGAAATGACCGAAATGACAAGTGTCGGCAACAAGTCGCGACTCGCGACGCGCTTCGGGTGCGTTCATGGTGCGTTTATTCATTCAACTAGCAGTACTTATACAATCAGACAAAACAATGCTTGTATTAAAAAAGCGACATCATTCAATTAAATAAATGGTTTATTGTTTTTAATATTCTTGCATTATACTAACAAACAAAACTTACTTTGTCGAATCTAATAATGTTCCATTATAAAAACAATCAACTGTTTTATAGAATCAATCATATAACTTGATTAAATTTTTGACAATTTCAGCTTTATTGGAACAACAAACAGCGATTATTAATTTAATGAAAGTTTTTGATTGTTTCATTCATTTTTTTTTCTATCAAGCAAAATCCCATACTTGATTGGCTCGATTTTTTTCAGTGAATATTTTATCTCAATCTCCTTACAGAAAACCATTTGAGAGAAAAGGAAATAACATTATTTTTCCGCATTCTACATTGACAGAACAGATTAGTTCCAGTCCATACCAGGTTTAGTAGGTCTGTGCGTCAAAGTATTGCATATCCATCTATGTACCTATCCATTCAAGGGACTTGCCATAAGTTGGATTTTTCTCGATAGGTACAGAAAAAATACAAAAACCATAGAAAATAGAAATATCATCAAAAATAACCTTCTTGAGCCAAATAACATACCAGACAATATCCGTAGCACTCCGTAACTTGCAAAACATCAGCATTAGAACGTCACGCGGTAACGAACGCGCATGATTGATGGCGCGTGCGCAGCGCGTGGGCGTAGCGCTGAAAACTCGCGCGCAAATTAACTGTCGCACATATACTGGACCCACTGCTGATAGGACCCAGTGAGTCTAGTTGGTGACAGTGCATTTTACCTGTACGGGGAGTAGCAAAAAGGGCATATCAAGCCGAAAGGAGGTTAAAGTACTCATGAAACTGAACATTTTCCCCCATGGAACATGGGTCGAAATGTGAAAGAAAAATTATAACTTCCCATACAAAATCGCCAGTCCGCTGATTAATTGACTATGGGAGAACCATTTTTTTTCGACCGGAATTTCACGGGGAAAGTTTTACAGTTTCATAAGTAATCTGAGTTCCATTCGGTTTGTTATGCCCTTTTGGTTACTCCGGGTAGAACCTAAAAATAATATGTCACACAGTTAAAATCTGTTTGTTTGTTCCCATCGACAAAAAGTTTGGTACAATTGCGAATTAAGGTCTTGAATAGTTATAAAACATTCTCTTACATAATTTCTCAGCTTGTGAGATTTTTAAAAACATAACTTATTTTCTTTCAAAGTGGTGCAAGGCCCACTAGGTCTAGTCGGCAGTGGTTCTATGAACGACTCACAAATTATAGGTGAGCTGCAACGGCGATTCTGATGAGTGTTTTGGTGATTGCCTCTTGTGCTTCTATTAAAATGTTGCGATATATTCTGACCTTGTCGCGCCTTCTCCAACTTATTAAATAAGTATGTGCACACTTTTATAATGAGCTTCTAAACACGCAAACTTGATTTGAAGTACAAAAAACCAAAGTAGTTGGTAATTTTATTCTTCTTCTTATTATCGTATCAATGTTATTTTCCCAAGTTAATTTGTACAAACAAAATATCAAACCAGTAACTGCCAGTGCTTGGCTAGTTTTATTATTAAACGAAACGTAGAGGGCTACACCTTCTACCAATTAAACAACAAGTAGGTAAGTCGCGTAAACCTACATAAGTAGTTGGTTACGGTACTTACCTACAAGAAAAACGAGAAAGGTAGGTAATCTCGCTCTAAACCATTCAGAAATTCCTTGACAAGTTATTTGTAGCATACTACTCAATGCGCTACTTTTGAAATCGGTAGTAGAATTTATGATAATAAAATAAACGATGAATTTGTGTGTAAATAGTGTTTCAAATTTAATAGCGCATCGCGATAGCCGCACGCGCCGCTACTAATGATCTAAAGGGTTATTCTGTAAACGAAAATCTTTTTTATATGATATCTAATCTAATATATTTAAACGAGCAAGAATCGTATATGTCGCAGTACGATAGGAGGTTTAGTATTTAAAATCCGAATTCTGCCATCGTACTGCGACATATATACAGGTAGTCTCTGTATAAGTGGTCCAAAGAAAAAATCTAGATTCTTGACCTACTTAGCCTACCAGTCTTGTAACAAACCCGACCCCGGCCTATGAAGGACTCCGCCTAAAGGCACCGGCCTCAGTTGTTATGAAGATCATGTCTTGAGTTCTAGATTTCATAGAAACCCATACCTCAAGCACAGTGTATATAATGGCTCGTGATATAAAAGTGATGTCTAGTTAATTATTGACCCATACGTTGTGTTTAAATAAAGTAATATGTAACCCATAAGTTCTTTTAAAGGTAATTGAGACATCTCTGTACTAATTATTGAAATAAAGTGACTCTGATGAACAGGAGATGGAAAAGGGCAGGAAACTGAACTCCAAACGGGCCCCCAGAACTGCATCGCCCGAGGATTGTGGAATCCCACGCCAACTATACCTATTAGTATTCATAAACACTCCGCAGTCATCTTCACATAACCAATTTATGTATGTAAAGATAACTCTTAGAGTATTTACCAAATACAAATGGTAAATTACCTGATTCCCCCAGAAGAAGGATAAAAATATGGTGAGACGTGCGTCTCTGCTAATAGATGCGTCAGCCACAGACGCTTGTGATGCTTAAAAGCACCACGAAGAAGGATAGGTGATCAGATTCAGACGTCCTTTGCAGAACAACTGAAGTAGTTTAGAATAAACATTCTTATGACAGACCAAACTGACACCCAAGTGTCTAGTTGGTTAAGTAAGTAAGTATGTTGTAAGTAGGTATGTTATCAGTCAAATGACATGATTTCAACAATTATCTTTAGGTTTCTAAAGAGGTACCGGCAAGGCCGGTAAATGCACCGAATATGAAATTGCACTGGTCAGTCAGTCTCCACCCACATTTAACTCCTACGGAAGTCAGAATATAATATGAGAATGCTTTATGCAAGTCCCAAATCACATGTGAGCATACATTCCTATCAGTTGTAGACGGGAGAGCAATATTTTGCCCATCCCAATAGAGAGTAGATAGGATATGTTGATCACATGAACTTCCTGAGAGCATATGGGCTTCCATGACCAAAAGCTGCCATTACAACCATATCGAATGCTAGATAAGAAATAGATAGGTATTCGATGAAGATATGATAACAGTTGTCCCATGACATTTGATGACAACCATCGTAGTTAGTAGG